GTTTAATGCCACTCACACGTACTGCGCTAACGTTCTGCTTTCCATCAGTTTCAGTATGCCTAGAATGGCAATGTAATTAAAACGGAAAGGTAAGTGCAACGGAAACTATACTTTCCCTTATTAAATGCTAATTCCAAAAGAGATTTTCTGCTGAAGTCCAGGGTTTTTTTAAGAGCTGACAAGTCTGGGTAATATTATCTAGAATAGGACTTTGAAAAATGGAAGCAATTTCTTCCAATTTTGCACAAAGTCAGTCAAAACAATCGACAAGCTTCTGGTGGGTCTTGAGTTCCTTCTACCACATCCACTGCCTTAATGTTAAAAAATTTAAAATATTGCTGTCTACACCTCTAATTTTGTCTTCTTTGAATAATAATCTTCTATTCTCTAAAGCTCTGAACAACTGAGTTTTGTGGTGAAAGGTCTCTATCCCTTCACAGCACAGAAAAAGACAGAGGGTCCTCACTATCTTCCCCCTTTGCCCTTACTTTCATAATGCTGTGGCTGTCTATGTCCTCTCCTAGGCGTACTTTTTTGGTGCATATATTGCATTGCCTTGCTGATAGAGATCTAAATGGGAAGAGAGAGAGAAGTTACTATAGGAAAAGATCTTAAGATATGAAAGTATTTCTCACTAAGGAGAAAAAACAAAACAAAAGTACTAAAAGTTTAATCCAACCTTTCTCCAAATGGGGAAAGAACCAACGCCCAAAGTTACTAGAATCTCTGTTTTCTGCGTTGAAATGTTTTTCCGACATGGAGAGGTTATTAACAGGCAGGATAAATTCTGACAGAAGTTGTAACCACCGGAAAGCTCCTTGTCACAGGAGAACCCCCCCCCCCCCCAATAGGAGCACAAGACCTACTTGACTCTTTGTCCTTGCAGGCAGGAGCTCTAGGCTGTTAGGTTTGCAATTTGGCATAGAATACTAATCTGAGGAAATGCTTGTGACTAATAGAAAAAATTCATAAGTTTTTTAAACTGTAAAGAAAGCTTGATCATTTTTAGAAGGAAAGGAAACTCTGGTTGTTGTAGGAATACGTGAAGCAGCCTCAAATGTCTCTCAGCAGAGGATGGCTGTAAATGGAAACAATAAACTGTGTGGGTGTCTAGATTTTAAGGAGACAAGGGGTCCACAAGCATCTTGTTCGGCTTCTTCTTAAACATGAACCATTAAATTTCATATATTCCCCTCAGTACCTGTGCCTAGGCATTTTAACTCTGAGCAGATTAAGCTGTTGCCTGGTGTAGCTGGGAACAAGAGAGAGGGACTACCACCTGCGCCTCGAGGCTCGGCAGTGACAGGGGAGGAGAGGGAAACATGCCCACATGATCTTGCGTGAGCCACGTTTCCTGCAGAGAAAAACTGAAAAAAAAATACTTGAGACCTAGGACAAAATACTTCCTGGCCCCAGATTTTACAGTTGGGCCTTCCACAGACAACCTGACCAGATCCTCGCACAAACACGGGGCAGTGGTTCACCTTGCTAGTACAGCATGCCCAGTTGTGGCCAATTTCAGAGAGTTCTGAGGAACGTGGGAGAAAGTGTCTCTGAGGAACGTGGGAGAAAGTGCTAGACCATATCCGGAGAACAGATATCCAAGCCAAGGTGACACCACCCCATCCGAATGGCCCTCCTTTGCGCATTGAAGCATTGAAACTTCTTCAAAAGTGGGTTGTTTTCTACAGGGTCTGCTTTGTGCACTGACTTACCAAGGCTGAAAGGCTCCCAAAGGTGTAAAACCATAGCCACGAGCGAGCATGGTATAGAAGTATCATCACGGGATGGCCTTACTGGCTATGGCTACATCTGCTTGACCATACTTCTCTTTTTGCTATTACACCTGCAGCAAAGACAGATAGAAATATCATGAGAGCCTTCACCTCTACTTTGCACTGTGAGGTGATCTTCATCTGAACTGATGAAGCAGGTTTTAGAGTCCAGCTGTAGAACACAAACCAAATCTAAACAAATATCTGACTCAGCTCTTAAACTGAAAAAGCAGCAGCTTGGAGGAGGAAGTTGGCAACACCACTTAGAAAGCCATGGATTTGTTCCAGCTACCCTCTTCTCCACTCACTCTAATTATTTATCCCTGATCCCTAAATAGAATCTGTCTCAGGGAAAAGAAAAACGGACAGTGTGGTAGCTCCTTTTTCCTTTACAAGTCACTTTTTCAAATTTAGGCACACACACACAAAAACCCCACACTACAACACGTTAGGCTCTTTCACCTGGACTACATCCTATATTAAACCATTTTGTCTTAACCTACCTATAATGCAGTTTGTCTCCCTAGTTAGTTACTGAATGGAACTGCAGCTTCTTTTTATTCTTCTAGCAGAAGGTCTCTTATTGGTATCTTTTTGATTGACAGCTTTGAGTATTGCTTTATAAAAATAATAGGCAGCTATCTACTCTGAACATTTGACTCAAAACATACAGTTTATACGGCTCTAGCAGACCTACAGGCCATCTGAAATGGAATGAGACGGGGTTAGTGCCAAGTGTTTCAGTAAGAGCATTCAAATGAAAAATCAGTTTCTCGACCCAAGTGTATCTAAAATACTTTTTTTTAATTTTTGCGTAAATTCACAAATGATACAATAGTGAAGGGTTTTGTTTGTTTTTTTTCCCCCAACATACTTTACAATCAGGTTAGTTAAGTGTTTTACATCAAGGCACAACACACCATATTATACACATGCCTTGCCAGGCAGCAGTTTAGTATAATCCCCGAGTTTTGGCAGTAGTGCCAGGATAAATAGCATGGATCACATATATGCTAGAAGATAAATAAATAATAGATGCTGTCACATTTTATTTGAAATAGAATTGCATATAAAAAGAATATACAATAATTTAACTTGAATAACTAGAATCTCTTATACTACACATAACAGAAGAGTTTCCATTTGTATTAAACAAAACATTTTCAATATTAGGATGCAAAATTAATCTTCTTTTTGGCTTTCTTGATTTATGGAGAAGAGTTGCTTTTGTTAGAAATGAAAGCTGGATTTTCAGGTTCATGACAATCTGAAAGAAACAAATCCAGAGTTACAGATATGTTGATAATAATTTTATCAGTAATACTCATTCAGTATTTTCTGTTGTGTTAACACCCTGTGAAGCTAGTTATCTAAGCATTACACCTATGAAAGCTCTTTTTCCACAGCTTAAATAAGCTAAATTATATTTTTAGCAGTTTACTCTGCAATTACTGGTCCAGTTCTTAGGAGATGACTACCATAGGCCTGTTACTCATCCAGCACAGCTAAAATTCTACTAACTCCAAAGGTTACAGATTGCTTATTGCAGCGTATTTACCATCTTCGTGTTAGCATTCAGCTGTTTATATTTGAACACCTCTTCTTCGCCTGCCAAAGGCCTTGGACCCCACATTGGTGGGCACAAAGTTGTTCTTGCCGACTCCTCCCGACCGGCTCAGGAAGTCTGCCAGGCGATGGGTTACGCAGGTTGCTGTGTTGCACGCCCTCTTCTGTGCTGTCACACTGCTTTTCAAAGTGAAAACAAAGAGTTAATTCCCAAATATCTACTCTGAATGCAATAAAACTTCAGTAAGGGATGTTATGCTCAGAAAGATTTTTCTGTAAGAGAGCCAGGCAGGCTTACCGTGCAACAGGCCTTTCGAGCTTCAGCCTGCTCAGCTTACAAGCTCTGAAAGATTCCCCCCACCCTTTTCCTCCCTAACTGTCACACTGAGTTTAGGGAAGGTGGCTGAGCCCTCCCTTCCTTGGGCAATCAGACTGAAGACTTTAAAAATCAAACTAGACCTTCAGCGACACCTGAGCTGTATGCTGCCACCAGCGAGTAGCTGTGGCTCACAGAGGTGCTGAGGAGGTCCAGGGCTGAGGCTTTTAGCCAGTCCCCATTTCCTCCACGGTTTAGATCTGTGCTTTGTTTGCCCTGCTGCTGAAGGGCAGCAGTAACAGTTGGTCTCGTCTTCTCAGTTCAGGACCTACGTCCCATAACAGCCCCTCCCACCCCAAAAAAACAATGTGAAATCCTAGCGTCACTGAAGGCTATGGGAATTTTGTCAGCGACTTTTGCAGGGCTGTACCTGCATGCCCGCTGCTCATTTGCTCTCTTCGACACACTTTTCAGAGCTGAACC